GGACTTGTGGCTCATAAACTAGAGCTAAAACGTAATTCCAAGCTAAAGCCGCTTGAGGTTTAATTCGAATAGAATAAAAACGGCCAAGCCCTTCAACCTAGTTTGAGTTCGTTGACTCATAGTAGAATAGCAGGATATACAATTATGGTAAACCGCGTTATGGACAACATCATTCTCCGAAAGCCAGGTCACATTTAAGAACAAGATTACCAACCCAAATATTTTCTATGCAGAACTTTAGCAAACTTCGTGATCATCTCCTTTCACACTGTATCCCACATCGCAACTATCACGCGCTTTCATTCATCCCATTATCATTCTACAAACTCACATAACAAGACTGGTATACGTATGCAGGCTAACGAGGGGGGAAGACTTGGCGCTTCCCAAACTTGTTAAGCTCCTTCTGAGCAGCCTCAATGAATATTTCTCAATCAATTAGCATCGCAGCGACGACGAATTTCCCAATCACCGTTTATTCATTCTCGGAAATGGCGGGACGAAGGCGCTTCGATCACTTTTGAAGTTAGTCTACCAATGCTGTCGGCGGCAAAGTGAACTTTGAGCAGTCAACGTGCATAAACGGACATAAATTTAATTGAGGCAGATGCGGGAACATTCCTACCAACATAGAAATCTGTAGAAGGCGTGGTTCCGAAATATGGAACAGGAAGTTCAATGGTGATTACTTGGACCCTGTCATTCGACAACTTCCGAAAGAATACTCTTGATATTATAAAAGTTTACGCTCGGTCAACTTATGTCTGAGCTAACTCCTAATTTCCATATATGGTGTCCTCAAAACTTGCGTAGAAGTTAAATAGGCAGTTGAGCTAAGTTGGACATTTCGTCTGCTTAAGGTGGAGCCGCAAATACAAAAATATATGTCGGTTTTGGCAACTTGACGGTCCAGTAAGACACATTAATATTATAAAGGCTTCAGTATGTGAAATATATTATACAACTCAAGCTTTTTTGACAGTCTATGCTGTCATCATCAGGAGTGCGTCAGCGAGATTGGTGCTAAAATTTGATTTATTATTTATTATAAAATGTGGATGAGAACACATGGTAGGATGATCAAAAACTGGATCCTTTTGGAAAATAGATAAAGTATATTATGTTCTACTAGAAAACCACATACGGATTTGGAAAAACGTTGTTGATTTAATTAATTTCTGAAACTTTTCTATTTCACTTATTAGAATTAACCTCAAATTACTAACGTGGTCACAAGGTTGGAAGCGGTCGCTTCTTTTTATTCAATGAGATTGAGAACACATGGTAGGATGATCAAAATCTGGGCCCATGAGGATCTTTTTGGAAAATCGATGAAAAACATGGCTATGTTTTACTAGAAAACCACAAACAGATTTGGAAACACGTTGATAATTCATTAATTTCTAAAACTTTTCTATTTCACTTATTGGACTAACCCCAAATTGCTAACGTGGTCAAAAGGTAGGAAGTTATCACTCCTACTAATATAATTTGAATATGTGGCAATATCTAAGTTTAAAATATAAGACCACATAAAGTTAATTATTTCACCAACCAGGGAGTTTCTTTCCTTTTCTCTCTTTTCTGAAATTCAGCAACCCTGCGTATCTAATTTGCAGAATGAATAAGAAAAGTTGGATGCGCAACTAATTTCTAAGTAGGCATGTATCTCAAGTGCGTGTATTTGAGACAAGAAACAAAAATTTATTTGAAGCACTTTTATATGATCGAAAGTATTAAAACTGAAGCATGAAAATGGATATACATTTTTCTTAAATTAGGTCTGTAAATATGGTAATCTGCTTTAGTTTGTCAAACTACTAATGTCCAGATTTTCAATAATATGACAGCAATATTATTTTATTGAATGAGGTCATACTAAGCTTACGAAATGACAAAGAAAAAATAAGTTGATATGTTTGGTTCGAATGTTTGTCGCGTAAACATGACATCTCTGTCCATTACTTGTAACTAATTTTACTTGCTTATTGAATGACGTGACTTTTGGGAAGGAGAGGTCCTCGGATGATTCGTTTTCTTGTTATAGGCTATTATATCTAGGTGGTTTGTCACATAAGTTCGAGTTCGAGGCATTGATGTTCTGGGGTGATAAACATAATTTATAAGATCATAATGTTCTTAGTTATATGATCGTCTTATACTCATCTGCTTTCAATGTTATATAAAATATATAGCATTTATTGAAATCTATTAGACCGCTTGATGACATGACATTAATGGTGGTTTCTCAGCAATTGTTGTTATCCTTACTGTAACTTTCATATTTTAGTTATTGGAACATACTTTGTGGTGTATGAAAAAACGATGAAGATACGGATGATTTCGAAATTCGCAACTTTTGATTTTTTAGTAGTTATGCTCAAGTTTTGATGAGTCACCTACTAGATATCATATAGGTAAAATGTAAGATAGACACACTAATGGCCTTATTATATAATAAATACAAATGTTCTCAATGAAATAAATTTATATCATTGATGTACAGGGTTTGTCTGGAAAGTAATAGGACTCATTTTCTTCCGCCATGACTCTACTTCGGAGCGCGCGCGCACCGACTGGATTCGGTAGAGGACGTTCCTAGTTAACGAATGAGCGGCTGGTCAGTTATCTCCGAGCACTTGGAGAGTCAGGACAGGCATTTTCGCGCGACGTGTTTCTGTGAGTGGTGCAAGTCGAAAATGCAGCGTTCGTTAGAGCAGAGGTACGCGATTAAATACTGTGTGAAACTCGATAAATCAACGACAGAGACGTTTGATATGATCAAGCAGGCTTACCCAGGTGTTGCTTTAGCAAGAAGTGGTGTGTTTCGGTGGCACCAGGCCTTTTTGGAGGGCCGTGAAGAGGTCGCTGATGAAGACCGTGCTGGAATACCTTCGACTTTGACAACCACCGATAATGTGACTCGTGTGCGCAAAGCTTTGAACTCAGACCGTCGACTAAGTATTCGTTTAATTGCCCAGATGTTAAATTTACCAAAATCTGTGGTTCATGACATTGTGACACAGCATTTGAACATGCGCAAGATGTGCGCGAAGATGGTCCCAAAAGTGCTCACTGACGACCAGAAATTGCGGCGAGATGAAGTGTGCCAAGAAAATTTGAACATGTGTGAAAGTGACCCCCAATAACGTAATCACAGGTGACGAGTCGTGGATTTTTGAGTATGATGCCGAGACAAATAGGCAAACTTCGGAGTGGCACACGACGGCGTCTCCTCGCCCAAAAAGGGAAGAATGAGCAAATCCAAAGTGAAAACGATGCTCATTGTCTTTTTTGACATCAAAGGCATCGTCCACTATGAATTTGTTCCTCCTGGACAAACCGTCAACGCCAAGTTTTACGTGGAAGTGCTCAGGAGACCCAAACGAAGGGTCAGTCGGGTCCGACAAGACATCGCAGCCGACTGGAAGTTGCACCACGACAACGCCCCGGCTCACACCGCCTTTCTTGTGAACAGCTACTTGACCAAGGCCGGCATCCCAAAGCTTCCGCAGCCACCCTACAGCCCAGATGTGCCCCCCCCCGGATTTTTTGTTTCCTCGTCTGAAAAGGCCGATGCAAGGCAAGCATTTTGAGACGGCAGAGGGGATCCATGCAGCATGCACCGTGGCTCTCAAGGCTATTCCGGAGAATGCCTTCCGTGACGCCTTCAATACTTGGAAATTGCGCTGGCAGCGCTGCATCGACGCAGAAGGAGCCTATTTTGAAAGTTTTTAAAGAATTGTAACGATTGGCTCACTAAATTTTTTTAAATCGACTCAGTCCTATTACTTTCCGGACAAACCCTGTATATAATGAAAATCAGTTGAAACTTCGAACTCCACAGTCCTACATAACCGCAATTGCACCGCGACTCAGAGGAGCAACTTATAGATGGAAAACAAAGCTGCTACGCATGGAAACGCTTATACTCGTATGTAAGCATAATAATTATAGATTTTCGTTCTGGCCATTTATGGTACAGCTTGATATTTAAACCTACTACACTAATGTCAAAAGAGTGCATAGATTGTCGTACCTCTAAGGACTTTTTGTCGGATCTCTGTACAGTTCTTACGGCACTGTCGATCACAGAACAACAAATATGGCACTCGAATAACATTTTAGATGTTGTGTGGTAGCATTTCATTGTAGAAGCAATATCATTTATCAAATCAAAGAAATTAGGAGAACCGAAAATGTCAAGAGCATGCGTACTTGAATCGTTTTTCGAGGCCCCACAGAGTATACCTCAACAGTTCTATAAAGTTTTCTTCCAGTAATCAAATTTCGGTAAAACCTGACTCTAGCATAACATTTTATTAGAATGAGAAGGATCACAGGTATCAGGAATTTAGTGATGCCCATCATAATTTCTCATATTATGATTTCAATTAAGAAATCGTGGTAACCCAAAACTATGCAGCTGAGCAATTTTAATATTTCTTACAGTTAAAAAGTATCTATTTATTACACTACATCACCAAGAATTTGTTATAGCTTCTAAGGTCCGGTTGCATAAAGGTAAAACTGAACCGCTGGTTTTCCAACCGAAAGTTGAAATTCAACTGTCGGAAGGTAGCGGTTTGTCAACCGACGGTTCAGTTTTAATTTTATCAGTTGGCAGTTCTGTCACCTTAATTTGATGACATGACAATGACATCTAGACAAATGTTGTACGGCGTACAAAACATAGAACGGCAAAAGAGCTGTCAGCACTGTCAGTGTTGACAGTTCTCTGTGTCGCCTGTGCTTTTGTTTAAATCCATATTTCCTCAAAATTACGTGATAATTACCATTACCTAAAAATAGAAGGGTTTATCTCCGCCTAAAAATGACTGCTAAACCAACGAAAAGAGTGATGTTTTCCGAGGCACATTGCCACAGTTTGGTAGATATCGTTTTGAGATACAAAAATATTGTTGAGTGCAAGAGGACAGACGCCGTAACGTGGAAACAAAAGATGGAGTTTTTAATTTTTATTGAATACAAAAAGTTCAATGTTAGTATCATTTCTCAGGAAGCAGCTTGAGAGAAAATTGCAGAGCTATACAACTCTGCCACAACCGAATCACGAACAGCTGATGAACTCAGGTGTACATTTGATAATTTGAAAAAAGAAGTACGCAAGTATGAAGCTCACAGGAGGCAAAATTTGTTGAGGACTGGTGGTGGTGCTGATGAGAGAAATATGAAGAAAGCCATAATTATGCTTTAAGAGAAAATTAAAAGTATTATTGGCTTATCAGTGCATGGATTGCAGCCATCTGTGGGTGACAGCGATGATGCTTCATTTGAAAATATAGAAGGTACTTTGGACATTGTGTAATATTACAGTGAACACCCACAGTTATGTATCTAAACTTAAAAATACTTTAATTATATATTTATTTCAGAAGCGGCATCTGTCTGTATGGAGGAGACAAATAAAAATACAGAAAATCTACATGAAGGGGATGTTGATCTTGCATCAATGTCTATAGTGTTAAATGAAGCTGATAGTTTTGACAAAATTTAAAACAAATGCATTTGTACAATTTTCACAATTTCAGATTCTGAAAGCAACACAGAAGCTTTAGAACAGACATGTGAGTTACGAACACCGTCTGTACCAGTACCACAGCAATCCCTTCTGGCAGTTAAAGTGAAACATGGTAGGTGCTTAATATATACTCAGTGCAATGTAGTGTATTTATGTATTTATTTTAGATTGGTCTGATTACACACCAAGACACTTACAATCAAGTAAACACAGAGTTCTTCAAGGAAAAAGAAAAAGGATTGAAGAACAGTCATCGAAAGAGGGCCTAACATCTCTAAAAAGGAAGTTGTTAGAGGAAGAAGCTGCAAGAAACAAAGAACACCATGAACAAAAAATGAAAAATGAGCAGGAACTACACGAGTTGAAAGCTAAAAACTTGCAGCTCCAAAATAAAAAATTAGAATATGAAATTTTACTCTTACAGAAACAAATTGATGCATAATCAATAAAGTATTAATAAAACTTAGAAAGTTGTTTTTCTGGTGTAGGATAGAAAATAAATTTATAGTGAAAAATATAAATCCCATGACATGTTTTATTGTATGAATTTGCTAAACCTCATTAGAAAAAGATAGAAGTACCTACTAAAGCTAAACTTTGCAAATACATTTATAAATATATTTCAATAAATTATCATACAAAATAGTTTATTGATTGTCTTCTAATAGATTCATAAAGTATATAAGAAATTCTTCTCTAAAGTTATGTTCCAACCTATGAACATCATTTCCATTCACATTTTCTTCCTCCCATTCTCTATTCTGATCATCATCTTGGAGAGGTTCTGGCTCGTTCATATTAACTGCTATATTATGAAGAACTGCACATGCTACAATAAGAGTCTGTGCTGTCTCCAGAGATAATCTTATACCAAGGGAGAGAACAGGAAATCTTTTAAAACACCAAACAATCTTTCAACTGGATTTCGACTCCTAATTTGGGATTCATTAAATACTTGTTCCACTTCAGTTGTTGGATTAACAATAGGTGTTATTAAGTATTTTTTTAATGCATATCCTGAATCTCCCAGCATTAGAGAGTTCCCAAATCTAAAGTTTTCAAACTGTGCCATTATTAGCTATTCTTCAGTATTGTTTGATCATGCGTTGAACCAGGCCATCGGGCAACAATATTTCTTATCAATAAATTTGGATCAGCTACTACTTGTACATTTATAGAAAAATGTCCTTTTCTCTTTCTAAAATACTCGGCATTAGCTCTACCTAAAAGTTAATATTACATGTTTCAATATTAAGTCTTTCCAATTCGCCTAAATTAAGAAAATGAGTAACAAAAAAGTCAAAGATTAAGTACCTGGGAAAATTATTTTCACATGAGTGCAATCGATGGCTCCTATTACGCGAGGAAACTTTGCAATAGTATAAAATTTCCTTTTTACTTCATCAATTTCTTCTTGTGTGTTTGACATATGGATGTATTCTGCTGCTAAAGCTGCAAATATACCAATAACACGTTTTACAATTCTACATGCAGTAGTCTTATGGATTCCAGTGAAATCTCCAACGGTTTGCAACATACATCCTGTAGCACAAAAGCGAAGCACAAGAAGAATTTGCTGCATTGCTGTTACTGCATAGTTCCTAGGATAAACATTATATTGAGATATTTTTCTTATTTATAATTTCATTTTTGTATAAATAATGTGATTTACTAAATATATTTACCTTTCAGTTTTCCGTGTTAAAACATTTTGTAATCTCTGTTCTAGCATTGTTACTGTTTCCTTACTTAGGCGAAATCTTACTCGAAATTCTTCGTCATTCCAACGTGTAAAGTGATCTACTCGTCTTCTAAAATTTCGAGGGGCTCTTGGACTTTTCACTCGATTCTAATATTCAGAATCTGTTGAATCCTCACTGCTAGTTTGCCAAAGTAATCTGCCGTGTATATTTTTAGGCGAAGATGAAGAAGACGACATTTTATTTTAAATCGTCGTTTTATTGATAGTTGAAAATGCTTATAATAATCCAAGTTGGTAAAATATAAGCAGACGAAGTACAACTGTTACGACAAATGTAAGCAATAAATTTAGGTTAGCATATGCTGTTAACGTCCGGTTGACATTTCAATCGGTAGATCGAGCTAAGGTTGAACGCAGATGCGTAGAACCGGCGGTTGAATGGTCGGTTCTGGTTTATAATACAGAAATTTCAGTTTGATCGCCGGTTCAAATTCAACCGCCGGTCAATTAGAGATTATAAAACCGGCCCTAAGACTGGGGCTATTCAGGGGCAACCGACTAGATGTCCAGCGGGTCCAGACGCCCAACGACTGGGGTCCCGAAAACAGACAAAAACTGTTCATTTTTTGAGTACTGCGAGGAAAAAATTCTGACGTAAGGTCCTCTGTAACACTCCTCGTATCGCTCTGCCTGATAGGCGTGGCCCTTTCAAGGGTATAGCCCCGTTTCTATTCTCTTTTTACTTACTCAATTTGGTGCTAAAGCATCTAAGTACTATAAACGTATTCACTTACCGTTATTAAAACTCTGAATGGTCACTTGGATCACAGTTTGAGATTGAGTCACTTAACCTAGTTTTTAGATCAAATTTCGTAACTTTGAATGCCTGTCCATCCAGCGCACGAATTGCGGACACCACACCGGGCTTATCAATATATATTCAACGGAAATTTAATAGGAATGTCCGTCGCGCAACGCCCGAAATGGCTCCCGTAAATAAAAATACAAAATGATGATTAACCCTAGCATGTCTACGTCCGCGAAACATACGGTCCAACGATATTTTTCTTTTTATACCTTTTGCTATCAATTGCAGCGTGCTAGGTGCTTCATCTAACTCAGTAGGCAAATGAAGCTCGCGCCAGACGACAGTGGTACCGCGTTAAGTACTCTTGATTATCAGATCTGTGGCAAAGAGTTAAAAGGGCATAAGTCCATCTTTTTCGACATATCAGGTCAATTCTGTTTGCATCTGGCCTAACATATTGCTATCTTAACCATATTGCTCGAACTGAAACTATTAACAAGACTGTTTACCAAATTCATATTCTGTTCACTACCCTTTGGCAAGTATTGCTAGGAGTTTCTAGAGCTAGCAATGTTGTTACAGATAAAGATATCACGTGAGCATTTCAGTTGATGCTAATCTTGGCAACACTGGCGAAACCTGTCATCTTCTTACATTTTTCTGTTCTCTGTCAAATCCTGTCTTGTCACCCTTGTCATATCCGACCGGTCATAACCTCATTTTATAACACGTTTATAACCGACTGCGACTAAATTATTTCTTTGCTGCCAACCTGTGCCTTGTTCCTTGTATTGTTGTATACAATTCGTCATGGCGAACTCAAGGAGCAAACGAACCAATAAAGATCAAATGGAGATGATAATCAATTTTCTTGGGGAAAACCGGGTACTTGTCACACAAAAAATGCACCCGTTGAACACGGGTGACTGTGAACCTTTGTGGGATGAATTGACCGAGAAGTTGAACTCTGTGGAGAACGGTGCAAGAAAAGATAAGAAACAATGGAAAACTGTAAGTACCTAATCGTATTATCGAAATACTAAAGATAAAAAGATGTTCATTATTATCATAATATTCTTTTAGTTTCTGTACGAGTGGAAATCAAAAACTAAGAAGAAGGCCCATCATGAAAACGGGAGGTGGTGGCTACACTTGTAAAGACCTGACAGATTTGGAAAACCGACTGTTGAATGTATTAGGGGGTTGGATTCATGTACTAGGATGCCCCAGTTTAACAAATATTGAGCCTGGACTACCTGCAGGACTTGAATTAATGGATCAAGATGTCACTGAGATACAAGAAGGTGCAATAGAGCAGCATGAAGCTGAAAGAGAAGAAGAAAATACCGATGAGATATCTACACCAATACCATCACAAACACCAAGACGTGGAACAGGTAGGTTGTTAGTATAATGCTAATATGGTATCGCTAAGGGGCATCCGCTCTTAAAATTCCAAGGGAATATCAACCTGTTTGTGTAATTTGGTAGCCTACTATTTGCAAAATGTTTTTTTTTATTGGTGCCTTAAAAATAAAGGAGCAAAGCATTCACATGTTAAGCTTGCACTAGTTTAGTTATTCCACTTGATGAAATTTAATTCATACAAAAAATATTTTGTTTCCTAACTTTCTTAGAAGTTAAGTTTGCTTGAACTATACAATTTTTTACAAAGATATGTTGTTTGAATAATCAACTGTCTCTCATTCAGGAGAGAATTATTTTCTGACAAGAAGTTACAAGTGATTCACTGACCAAAATATGATTTAAACAAATAACTTGATTATTTAGTTGATTTTTTATACCAAGCTATATATACATGTATGTTCTGACTGTTCTTATCAAGTGTATTGTTTTTGCAGCTCCAAGGAAGAAACAAAAGAGACCGCATGTACAGAGCACACAGCTGCACGAAGCAGCTGAACTTTATGCACAAAGCACCAGCGAAATGGCTGAAGCTGTGAAGGTGATGGCTGGTGCAATATCACAGTTAGCTCAAGGGCTATCTGATATAGCAATTGCTCTAAGCAACACATCAAAAACCTGATGTCATGTAATAAAAATGAAAATACTAAAATCTGCATTAAATATTTATTTTAGAGAACATTTTCTTACATAATTCACCTGATCGCAGTAGACAACTGATTTACAAGTTGCTGGCGAATAAACCTGCCCTCTGTGAGAAAATCATTACTTGGAATTGCAGCATCATCAGGATGGCTGCTGTCAGTAGTCTGATCAGTGTTGTCATGAGAGTCGCCATTATCTTCATACTCTTGTTCTGCATTATATATTCTGCAAATATTATGCAAAACAGCACAAGCATAAATTATCATGCCACTTGTATCATGAGAATAATGAAGAACCCTGTCTTTCCTTAAACATCTAAAACGGGCTTTCCAAATACCAAAGCCCCTTTCAACCACATTGCGTGTGTTGATATGTATACTGTTATAGTGAGCTTCGGGGGTATTAGCTCTTGTTTCGAGGATTGGTGTCATCAGCCACGGCTGGAGAGGATATCCTGAATCACCAAGTAGGTAGCAGTTTCGTCTTCCATCTTCATATTTTTGCTTAAGATGTCTCTGTATGTTTGAAGAGTCCCATATTGCTGCATCATGGACTGCTCCAGGATACTTCGCATTTACGTTAGTAATCATTAGGTGAGAGTCGAAAATCTGTAAAATATTGCGAATTTATGTTCTCAGTCAAGGCTTAACAAAAAATGAACTTACTGCCTGAACATTTACACTGTGGAACCCTTTTCTATTAATATATGCTACTGATGGATTAATAGGATCATCTGTTTTGGGTGGCACTATCGCAATATGTGTACAATCGATAACGCCTACAACATTTGGGAATTGATGATTCTCTAAAAATCTGAAAATTGAAAAACTCATGATATGATGTGGCCATTATGTAGAGAAAATACCTACATACCCGTCTTTGACTCTCCTAACTTCTTCTGAAGTTGTTGGAAACCTGATATATCGAGGTGACAAATGTAATGCAATTAGTCTGCTTATTTTGTTTATAAGTCTGCTCATTACAGGTTGGCTGATTCCGATATTAAAGTCGTGTCCTACGGTTGTTTGATAACCGCCATGGGCATAAAATAATAAACTTGAAAAGACCTGAAAATAATTTGTTGAAGATTCATAGAGAAAATAGATTCTATTTAGAATGAATTGTGAAACGTTACAAATTCATATTACATATCAGTTTGATTATATACATATATGTACTATTACTAATCATTATTATTATTATAGTAAAATGTTGATTATTTTGTTACCTGCAGATGAAAAGGTACTGTGTCTCTTCTGGTAGGTTCATCAACGTATCCTTGTAGCTGAGTAATTAGATCCGTTGCTGCTACTTTATTCAGACGAAACAATTTTTTGAACTTGTCTTCAGCAATTTCAAACGGATTACTTGCGTCTCTGATATTTCGGAAGTGCAAGCGTAAACTTCGACTGCAATGTTTGTTGGTCATGAAGTTACACAAATAAAAAACTGTATGTTAATCCTCTTACCTAACTAGAACGTTTTCAAATGTATGGCGAAAGTTTACATCAAAATTCACAAAAACCGGATTGACGGCCATTTTTCTGCAATAACAATGTTGTTACATTGATAGCAAGTACTTAAATACTATTTGCCGAGATAACAAGATCGAAAAACAAGAACTATTCAAAATGACAGATCATCTGGCTAAAATATATTGAACAGAATAGGACAATCGCAAACATTGTTAAATCATAGCAAGATCTCTTCATAATAACAAGTAACAATATTGCTATAGCTAAACAGAATTGGCCTGATTTTTTCGTATTCGAGAGGGTTGTTGAGAGGGCGGCTGTAAGAACAATACATACCAATTATACAGGGTGACTTTGAAGTTGAGTCATTAATTTTCAGATAATGATTGTAGAAGGAAGATAAACCAAAATATGTGTGTAAAAATAAAAAAAAAATTAAAAAAAATGTTACCTTGTTTTATAAAGTATCCTCCCGACAAGTATTTCAGTGCGGACCTGTATTTGATCGTGCGGTCTTGGAGCACCGGCATGCCCTCCCCTGTGACGTCTTAATTCACCTGATTCACGAGCCCTTTGTACTACATTCAGCATTTTCATAGACATGTACCATTTTTTATTCACTATTCACTCACGCGTTACCGACTGACACATCGACTGAATACAACTGAATAAGATTGTACATTGTAGTAAAAACATCGTTTCAAATTCTTTCGCTTTTTTGTTTCCGATGCGATGAACGGATAAGGCGGATTATATCCGTTGTTGTCAAACACGAGCACATAATATTATTATTGAGACAGTGCGGTACTCAAACTTCTATATATATATATATATATATCTATTTGTATAAAGAGAAGGCCATTAAAATCACAATAAAGATTAAGGTTCACGATAAAATTCGTCTAACCTCCTTGGTAAAAAAGCTGCTAGATGATTTTATATAAGTCGGAAAGATGGAAGTATGCCCTTTTAACTATGTGCCAGAGAGATATTGCTAAACCATACGAGACGTATGATTATCTTTTAACGTCTCAGGAGATGACGTGCAGAGTGATAGATATTGTAGATAAACTCGACGAAGAAGCTGAATATCCATCAAACCCTGTTCCAAATGATGAAATGATAATGCAGATAGTGCCTTCCAGGTCTAACAATCTACCACAGCTGGTTTTAATCATGAAACCTAATAAATTTTCATGAACAATCCGCTGTGCGTAGATGTATCAGAACTTTCTAATATTTCTTCATCAATTTGATGATACAACACATCTGCCAAAGATGGTCATAATCAGGATAGTGAACTATGACGAAGGTTCACTACTGTATATAAGAATTTTCAGTTTGAAAATACAACAGACCAAGATGGTTTTCACAGTTTTCAAATATTCTTCAAGATTTTATATCAGTCTTGCTCCAACTATCATGGGTACTATGTTTGTGTTGTTACTTTAAATTCAAAACCAGCAAATGTAAAAGATTGTTTTCAAAGTTCCTACACACGGTCCACCTCGGGACGTGATCGTCGTTAGACTTGGCAATCCTGCGAGTGACTGATAGATATCCCCTCCAGTTAAAAAAGCAAGCAAACCGTAGATGTTTTGTAAACCAAACCACAAACATTTTACTATTTTTTTTTTGGAGTTTGGAATGTTTGGAGGCCTTATTTACTCATAACATTTGGTCTATGTCTATAGTAATTACATTACGCACCACGGAGATGTAGAGATTGACACGTTTTACTCATATCGGTGTTTTAGGATGGAGATGACATACTGTTTTGATTGTTGCGAAAAAATACATTAACCCATCAGTTAATAATAAATGATTAATGTTATGATAATAAATCGTCTTTATTTAGGGGGCGATGTTGAGCATAATCCTACTCTGGCACTTAACCCAAAAAAAAGAAAAACCGAAAAAACAATACAAAAAACATAAAGACATTTGATAGGTTAGAAGTCTAAAAATGTAGATATATAAAAAATATAATGTATATAACATATATAAGTGAAGGCTATCCAATATTTCATGAGTTAACAGTATAAAATTGTAACAGTTATACAAAACAAAGGAATGCTACTTATGTTGGAAATATTTTTGTGTGAGGTGACAGATAAATTTTATCAACCAATTAACCTCCTATTCAAAATAAATTTCTTGGTATGTCTTTTAAATTCATCATACGATAGCAATTTTGTGGATCGACATAGAGCATTGTAACAAATAATTGCGTTGTAGGTGAAGCATTTACGAAAGAATGATGTCCTATGAAAGGGCATTGTGAGTGTTTCAGTGAATCGAACGTCACTAGAATGGATACTGCTTTTCGATATCAGCTTATTTCTCAAAAAACGACGGAATGGATGTGGCTCACACAGTTCATTTACTCTCAATAACTTCCTGTCTTTGGAAAAAAGGGCTGATATGATCATATTTTTTCAAATTATTGATCAACATGAGTTTTAAATTTTTTGGAGATGTGCCTGAGATATTGAGTCAAGAAATGGAAGATAAACTAAATCCCAATAACTAATTAACTAATTCTGGACATTACCAAAGATTCACACAAAACTTTTTGAGTTGTAAAGTCAAGAAATTGTTTATTTAGATATAATTGACGTAAAATTGAAAAACAACTCTTACTGATATTATTTGCATGTGGTATAAAATTTAGACATTCATCTAAAGTTACGCCCAAGTTTTTCACTGACTTACCGACTTCTATAGTCTCACCATTTAATTTTACTTTAAAATTTCTTTTGGCATCGCTTCTAAATAGTTTTGGTGAAAAAATAATGGCTTTCGATTTTAAAGGGTTCAACTGAAAGTTATGATCTTTTGCATACATACTAATAGATTTTATATCTTCATTAACCTGATGATATAAAGAAAAATGAGGGATAGGTTGGAATACATTTTATATTCTATTTTCTTGCAAAATACAGACAAATCCGAACATTTCAACAGGTATGTAGCTTTAATGATAACATTTAAACACTCAGTATGTAGAACTAAACAAATCCGAGATGGCCATACAATAACAAACGCCCAAACATGCTATTATATTTAACAGCTAGCAAAACGACCTATCATTTGTCGCAATCCCATTTCCTGGGAAATAGATTCTAACCTTATTTGTAAACTAATAAGAAATAGCAAAATACATGAAAGTTGTCTTGTTTTCTCTATACAAAAGCATCATGTTCGAATCAAAAAGTGCTCTTGTTTATAATACAATCGCTTCTTCACGATTTTAATCAATATTTCAATAGAAATCAGTGATGTTCAGAGAGCTTTGACAGATTCTGTCAAATTGCATTTCGATAGGTCTTTTCTCATTAACCCAAGTGATGGTTTAATACCTATGTTTGTGAAATCAGCCCTAAGTCTTTTGTTAATTCCCAAAGCAGTATACAATCTTTGTTTGTCATTTTTAGATAAACGTTTAACTTCGCTAAATTGTCTTCTTATTTCTTGGAGCAGCATTTGAACATTATTATTTTCAATTGTAATCTACGTCAGAAAGTTATTGCTCTGAATTAGAAACCCTAATTTTACATAGGTCCGTCTCCTGGACGTATGATTATCGTTTGCGCTAGTTATTATATGATTAACTTTCTAGGGTTAAAACAAATGCGAGATGCAGAAGCTGGTTAGACGTATCGCGAAAAAAGTATCCTTAGAAGTTGGCTGATCCGCATGGCCATAGGCGGACGATGATTGAAGGTCAAAAAATTGGGTTCCGTAATTTAATTTCATTTTATGGAAAAGTTGAAGTAAACGATACATGTCTGCTTCTGTATGTTATATCAATTGCTTGCTTAAAAATCATGTTTGTCAATTTTTCAACATTAGAGTGCGACGAGCGTGAGTAAATTTTGATTATTCCATCCATAAGCAAGGAATTACTTTGATGTGGAACTATTTGTATTTGAAGTTTTAAGCTCGCGAAAATTTATGTTACTTATCTTCGTTGGTCAGGCTTGTAGGCTCGACCCAGGTTTCATCCATTTTTTTGTGGGGCTTTCAGAAACTATTGAGGAGCGGATGAACTTGAATGTCACATTAGGGACAAATGTTTTGTACTTTGATTGACATTGCCGTCGAAAGTCTATAGAGGACCACAAAATGTGTATAGATGTACGAAAATCATGCACTTTTTTGGCAATAAGAGGTTTACATATTTAGCTGTACCGAGAATGTCTGAAAAAAAAATTGAATTGTGCTTACGTATGCATTGCACGCATAGCAGCTGTCTTTTTATTCAAGAATTTCCTCCCCTTGAACTATTTGCACAATAAAAACTACCTGGTCTGCAAGATGACATTTCGTCGGATGTTTTTGAAGTTTTTTTAGGTTTCTTGTATAATAGCTCTGCCAATCAACAACAACAAAATGCCGAAAAATTCTTTGCTCCATTATAAAAACCGCCAACATTCCGGTTATCGAACTACGGTCATAGTTATTTGTACTGCCAGATGCGGTTTTTGAATGGATTAACTTTTGTTAAGCTCCATCCGCTGTTTGGGTTAATGCCATGCAGCTCAATGCGCTCTATACCTGTGGGACCAAAAACAATTATCCTTTCATTTCTGTTTGGTTTGGCGGACGATATATGTTTGCTTTATCTATATGATAGAGCGTCCGGTGACGTTTCTATATAAAAAGTTGAATTTATCGTGCTCGTCCC